TACTTTATTTATAGTTCCTTAAGTGGTCCCCTCTGTCTGGGTTTTCACTCACAGTTCATGGAAAACAGTGTAGTACAAAAGGGATGGCCGAATCACAGACAAACCCGGGGTCTACATTTTATGACTAATTATACTACCCCATTTAGCACCAAGGCTGGCTCCAATAAAAGTTAAATGTTCTAGAAGAAATCATAATACACCTATAGTCACATGAATTATAGCTGTTTAGGTTTTGTTTTCTGGTTCAGGATTTTGGAAAGAACTATAAGACTACTACTAACAGCAGAGCTAAGGGGAAAGAAGGATGAAAATGATAAAATGAATGTTAGCTGATGACTTCTCAAGAGAGTCTTGGCAAATAAGGCTCAGAGCTTACTTCATCCTACAAAGATTTAGCTCATCCTGTAAAATATATAATTGAGGATATCCAGCTTAAAAGTAGATTTTCCTGAGCTCTAACAAAGCTCTTAAATTCTAGTTTCTATTTACAAGATTTAAAAACTTGCTATTATTAAAGTAGGGAGGAGGTGTGCATTTGTCAAAGCCTATGTGTGGATGTCAGGGGACAACTCTGTGAGGTCATTTCTTTCCCTTCACCTTTACATGTGTTCCAGATATTGATCTCAGGTTACCAAGTTTGCCCAACAAGCACCTTTACCCACTGAGCCATCCTCTCACTGGCCCTATTTATGCTTTTTTACATCTCTACTAAACAGTTTGATAAAACTGTTTCTAAAAGAGAGGAGGAGGAGAAGGAGGAAGCAGCAGCAGATAGTTGGGCACAATGGTTTATGCTTTTAATCCCAGCATTCTGGAGGCTGAGACAGTTCAAGGCCAGCCTTAGTCACATAACCAATTCCAGGCTAGCATGAGCTACATACTAATATCTTGCTTTAAAAGCAAAACAAAGCAAATGGACAAAAAGCTTTAAAAAACAAATGCCTTAAACCAGGTGTGATGTGCAATAATATTGGGCCTGTAATCCCAGCACCCCAGGAAGCTGAAAGAGGAGTATCCAGAGAATGTGAGGACAACTTGAGCTACAGAATGAGACTATTTCAAAACCCAAACATCCAATGGAACAAACAAAAACCAAACAAATTCTTACAAAGGACACCAATGTCTAGATTAAAAGCACACAGATGCCCTTCTCAGTATTTTTAAGGTGTATGCACATATTTTACTTATTAGGGAGACACACTAATCAAATTCTCTTCATTGTTGGGGGCTGGGCAGAGGAAGAACATTAAAAAAAACCAACAAACCAATGCTGAATCATGAATAAAGAAAACAGATAAGGCAGAAAACTCAAAAAAGTAATTCATGGGACACCTCAAACTTCCTAATTGGGGCATCTGGTCTTAGTAAGCTTTTAAAACTAAGCTAACTGAAGAGCAAAAGTACCTAGACTAGTCTCCAGAAACTCGACAGCAGCATAAGACTAGAGCATTTCTCTGTTACTTCACTTCTCACTTCCTGCTTTCTTTAGGCAGCTCATTCTGACCATTTCAGGTAACAACGCAGAAGTGAAAAAACCAACTTCCTCTTTAAAAGTGATAAGAGTTTTGGCAGCTGGTTTAAAAGTGATTTTACTTGCTTTTTAAAGAAAATCAGAGACTCCAAATGCCAAAGTTATGGAAAGCTTTACTGCTTTCAGAAAACACAACGAAAATAAAAGTATTTCTTTTGGCACCACAACAGACATAGTTAAAACAAAGAGAACAACAAAACACTACCCATCCCAAATGAAATGCACTTGAAGTCTTCAACAAGAAAGAAGAAAATGGAAATCCTAGATTTTCTTAGAGAAGGGATTGGTCCTAGGGGCTCTGCAGGTGCCGAGCAAATGCTCAACCACTGACCTCGATATTCAGCCCATCTCCCATCCCTTTTTCTTTTTTCACTTCATCTTTGAGACAGTCTCATCAAGTTTTCAAAGTTGTACTTCAACTTGCTTTGTAGCCTAAACAGACCTTAAATTTTTCTATCCTCTTGCCTCAGCTTCTGAAGCAGTTGGGGTTAGAGGTCTAAGCCACCAGGCCAGGGATAATTAAGAATATCTTTTATCTTGATTTTAAAATTAGGCTGTACTGCTGTGCATGGTGGTTCATGACTCTAAACTTAACACTGAGGATCCCAAGATAGAGGATCACCACAAGTTTAAAGCTTGGCCATAAGTGAGTTCCAGATTAGCTTGGGCTACAGAATCTGGACTGTTTCAAGAAAAAAAAAATGTAAGTAAACAAATTGATAATTAATGCAAAAATTTCTGCAAGAATACTTGCTTATGAATTCCAAGGCATTCAAATCAGTAAATATCTTGGAAAAAAAAATCTTTTCTCAAAACGTACCCCCCCCCCCTTTCGTGAAAGGGTCTCATTCATATAGGCTGGTCTTAAACTCCCTGTTGCCAAGTTTAAACCTGCATTCCTAATCCTCTTTGTCTTTACCTCCCAAGAGCTGGGATTGTTACAGACAGACACCATTGGAACCAGCCTTTCTTCCTACCTTTTCTCAATTTTTGAATTTAGATAAAATCAATCTGAAGGTTATAAGAAGCAGACCAAGGTAAGAAGCCCCCAGACCAGGAAGTCTTCCAAAGCCCTTTCTTTCTGCCATAGATTTCAAGAGGTATGACTGTGTCTGTCTGGGGAAAGGAATCTAATAGAACTCCAGGAATCTCAAATCTTAAGGGGTTCTCTACATAGTCCTAGAACTCGCCTTCCTCTGCCTCCTGAGTGTTGAGATTAGAGGTGTGCACCACCATGCCTGGCTCAAACCATAAGAATTTTTACTGTATCATTACGCTTCATTATCTACACCAATAAATGTAGTCAATTAGAAAAAAAAAAAGAACTCTATTAAACCCAGCATCGTGGGGGTTTGGCTAGAATCCCAGCACATGGAAGGCAGAAGCTGGAGGACAAATTGGAGCCCACTCCAGTCTACACAGCAAGTTTCAGACCATCTAGGGTTACATAGCAAGACTCTGTCCTAAAAATACAAAACAAAAAATAAGTTCTTTACTAAAACAGGAATAAAATTCATGGTTACTTCTGGGGTGGATTTACTAATTATGACTTGCTTTTTCTATCATTATTAAAAGTAAACACCAAATCTAAATGTGATGGCATACGCCTATAAGAGATAAGCAGGTGACGGGTGGGGGTCATCCTTGGCTGTATAGTGAGTTGGAGGCTTACAAAAGTCACACAAGACCCAGCCTCAAGAAACAGAATAAAATTTCACTCTAACTTGATGTTGTGTGAACCCAAAGTCCTCGCCTTAGAATAAATATTTTGTTACAGTTTTCGTTCCACTGTTAATTGAGATATGTCTGTTTCCTAAGTCTTCAGCATTTATGATGCTCAATTTCCAAATAAGAGAAAACAGTGCTCACGTGTTATTTGTTGGCTTTTTATTTTTTGTGAAGCTGATGCTGAAGTTCAAACACAGGACACTGCATGTGTTCTGCGCTCTACCAACACACTGCCACCCTCGACGCTGTGAAGCAGTTTGTAAAGGTGTTATGCACCTTTTTCAGCATTTAAAAATACATACACAGATAATATGTCAAATTATTCTTTATGGAGAAATGACTAAAAAGAGTATGTTCCCCTCAACAATCGCCAATATTTTCACGACTAGAAGAACCCAGGCAGATTTTATAGAACACTGGAGGGTACACACTTTGTAACAGTCGTTGCAGGAAACAAAAGACAGATTCTTTTCCCATAAGGAGTTATCTAGTGAGACCATTCTAACTTCTACCAACTCTGAAGTGCTGTGCTTACTGAAGAGCCGGACACTTCTTTTTCTGACAAACCGTATGCTGTTGTCAGAAAAAGTTATTCCATGTAACTTATAAGGCATCCTTGTATTTAAGCCACCTCTAAAGACCTGAGTACACAAACTGCATTCTGGCAAACCTAGCCACCAGACACCACACACAGTAGGTCATCAAAAAGGCTGGGTATTGGGCCGGGCGGTGGTGGGGCATGTCTTTGATCCCAGCACTCGGGAGGCAGAGGCAGGTGGATCTCTGTGAGTTCGAGGCCAGCCTGGTCTACAAGAGCTAGTTCCAGGAAAGGCTCCAAAGCTACAGAGAAACCCTGTCTCGAATCCCGCCCCCCCCCCAAAAAAAAGGGCTGGGTATTTCACTTAACCTGAACATGTTAAGTAAGGTTTATTTACTACCAAACTTTTCTGGAGTTGAAAAAAAGGCTACTGGCTATTCCTCACTGTTTAACAGGAAGCCAAAAACTACTCTGAAAAAAATTATAGTTAAGATTAAGAGAAAAGGGATGGAGTCACCTTGGGGACATACGTGCACACAAGACATCAGCAGCAGGCACAGAAGTGCTGGTCAAACTCTTAAGCAAATGCCCTGAGCTTTACAGATTTATTTTTATCGAATTAATTCAATCGTCACTAGCCGAGAAAAGACCAGGGTGTGTAGTTAGGTGGATAGACAACACCAGAGAACCTCTCCCTGTCAAGGAGTCGTGACAGCAAAATCACTTCCTGAGGAAGGAGGAGCAAAAGGGAAGTTAAGGAGGCTACTCTGATCAGGAAGTGACTCGTCCCAAACTAACCCCAATCATACCTATAAATGGGGGGATGGGGTGAGCCCCAACAGTCAAAGGCGGCAAAATAACTGCTGTATGACACGTCCCAACATCACCTTCTCTTCCTCTCTTACAATTACAAAAAGGGTCTACAGATAAAAGTCAATCAGCTAAAGTTGTCTCCTCTTTTTAGAGGAACGCTGTGCTTGGTCCGGAATGAAAAAAAGAGTTGAGGAATGGGGAACTGGGGCCACCGTGAGGCAAAGGAAAGCCCCTTGAAGGAAGAAAGCGTCCCGGGTGCAGAGGGAGTATGCCAGCACCGGGAAACGACTTTCTTTTTCCTGCGGATACCGCCAGGCTTTCCACTGCTGCCAGCTCGGACCCCTGGGCCCCGTCGGGGGAGGAGGTAAAAGAGAGAGGCGGACCCCTTACCTTCTCCTCATCCGACACCCGATCCTCGAAGTCGGCCATCTTGGCTGCTCTGGCCCAGCCCGGCGACCGGCGCGAGGCAGGCCGGGAAGGAAGCTGAGTGGTGGAATCACCAAGGGGGCCGTCGGAAGGACCCGCCCGGAAGCTCCGGCCAAGAGGGCGCCATGTCAGTTCCGCGCGGGCGTGACAGCCCGGAGTGGGAACGCTCTGGGAAGCCGGCCTTGCCCTCAAGGCCTGGGAGTCTGAACGTCTTTCTCACTGAGTTTCAGTCCTTTGCCCATTCATCCTGGAAGCTCGGTGGCGTGTCTCGACTGGCCATGGCGCCTGGGCTCCCTCTGGTCAAGTAGAAATGGCTACACCTCTGAGTTTTCCTGGTCCCGATGGTCTCCGAGGCCGCCGAGTCCAACGCGCTAAGAGCTGCTCGGCTCTAGGAAACACCAGTACTTTCCCCAGCCCCGCAAGGGGGCGAAATGTGACCCTCAACCTCGTATGGAACCCAAAGCACATCCCTCCCGCGCCACATTGAGTCCGCTTCCTGCAGAATAAGTGCCGCCATCGGATCCGCCCTCCTAGAGGACTAGGCAGCCCCCAGTCTGAGGACGCGCTCCATCTCCTTCCAGATCTCGGTCCCGTTCCCCAGGACTCAGCCTGGACAGAGGCCGGCTTCCAGTCCGCCACTATCCCAGGATTCCCAACTCCGGTTTCCTGCCCTTCTCCCCTCCCAGGTCCCGGCGCCTGCCGGAGCCGCAAGATGGCGGACGGGGAATGCTTCGCGGAAGCCGCGCGGGCTGTGGGGTGTCCCCATGCACCTGCTCCCGGCTTGGGCCTGGGCCCGCCGCTGGGCTGGAAAGAGCGGCTGAAGGCCGGGCTGGCGAACTCGGGCTCCACGCTGTGGTTCCTGGCGGGGCTGGGGCTGCTTTACGCTCTGAGGGTCCCGCTGAGGCTATGTGACAACGTGACAGCGGGTGAGAGGCCCCAAACCTCCTGGACGGTCGGGGACAAGCACCAAAGATCAGAGATTCTCGGGGAGTCATGGAGGGCTTTGGAGAAGGAATCGGTGTTGCATGCTCCAGTGGGTTATTATTATTATTATTTTTTCTCTTGGGCCACAACAACCGGGCAGCTGATTGTCAAACCTGTGCTGCAGTTTGCCGGCCCCTCCCTAGAGCGCTGAAGGCTCGCCCTCTCTATTACCGCAGGAAAAGCTACCTGACAAGCAGCAAAGCTCCAGGTAGTAAAACAGAAGAGAGCTTTCCCAGACACGGACACACAGTTTATATACATTCTTAGCATTTGCAGGGCCCCTTTAAAATCGTGCCTTTGAGTCTCCAGCTGCCAAACTTAGAGAAAGAACCCACACCCAGAAAACCAACACATCTGTAATACAAGATAGAAAGTACTACGATTGTAGTGGACCATACTTTTATTGTAAGAGGCTTCTGTTAAGAAACCTTTTTCGTGATATTTTTAGCCTTCAGACTTTATCATGAATAATAAAATAGTACGGGAAAGGAAGAGGGAAGAGAACCGCAAACACTGGGTTTGTTTAATATGTTCTTTCAGCATTTGTACAGTGTTTTTGGTATGTAGCCTGGGCTAAAGATAAAGACTTGTAAGCTGTGTTGATCCACACAGATTCTGCAGATGCTGTTCCTTAGCCATGAGCAGGATGAAAGCATGGGGTCCTGGGCCATTTGTGGTGTTACTGCAGTATTTCTTTCTGCAGCCTCGGAAGAAGATGAAGTATTTTTGTTAGATGGTGACTCTGTTAATTTTTCTGTGAGAAGGCGGTGGTTTCCCTTTTCTACTCCATGTGATGACATGAGACACTGTAGGATAATGTCTTGAAATGCTTTGAATATTTTAGAGGATAGTGCCACATACCTATCTAATTTGTCTGCAATAGATGGATGAAGTGCTTAATGGTAGTTTGTGTGCTCATTAGATGCTAGTCATTGAGTTCGTTGTTTATTTTTCTACCTATTATTATTGTTGTTGCTCAGAGGCAGGATGTAGCCAAGACTGACCTTGAACTCCTGATTGTTTGAGCACCACTATAAAAGTGGTGGAATTAGAAGTTTATATTATCTAGCCTGGCTTTCTTTCTTTCTTTTTCTTTCTTTTCTTTTCTTTCTTTTTTTTTCTTTTTTCTTTTTCTTTTTCTTTTTCTTTTTTTTTTTTTTTTTGACAGAGTTTCTCTTTGTAACAGTCCTGGCTGTCCTGGAACTCATCCTGTAGACTAGACTGGCCTGGAACTCACTGAGATCTGCTTGCCTCTGCCTCCCAAGTGCCAGGATTAAAGGCATGCACCACAACTGCCTGGTCCATTTTAGCCTGGCTTTAAAGAAAATTATTTTATACATTGTCTCTCTGTATAGCCCAGAAAATCCTCAAGCCGAAGATCTTCCTGCCTCTGCCTCCAGAATGCTAAAATTTCAGACTTGAACTCCCAAAGTTGCTAACTTTGGTTTCATTGTCTATGTTTTTAAATACATTTACCATTTAGTTGAACATTGATTATTATTGATTTTTTTGCTTCTTGTAAAATTCAAAATTGGGGCTAGAGATGTAGCTCACTTGGTAAAGTGCTTCCCTAGCATGCAGGAAGCTCTGGATTCAATTCCCAGCACCCATAAACCAGGAATGCTGATGCGTGCCTGTGATCCCAGCACTTAAAGGGAGGTAAATACAGAATTATCAGTAATTGGGCCATTCTCAGATACTAGTGAATTTGAGACCAGTCTAGGTCATATTAGACCACTTTTTAAATGTATGCTTAACTTTTTATCCTTATATATTTACTAAAGATCTAGTGTAAATTGTGACTTGTGTTTTAGATTTTTAGAAAAGCAGGCTAAGTTAGTCTCATTTTTGACTTTTGATTTTCTTTTTTGTTGTTGTTTAGCTTTGTTTTTCAAGACAGGGTTTCTCTGTGTTACCCTAACTGCCCTCCAACTCACTCTGTTTCCCAGGCTGGCTTTGAACTCACAGAGTTCCGGGATTAGAGGAGTGTACCACCATCTGACTTTTTTTCTTTTTTTGACTGCAGAGATTGATTCTAGGGTTTACATACTAAGCCTCATTTTGATTTACTTTCTTATTTAACTAAACAGCAGTGTGTAATCCCGCTTTTATATACATGCGGAGATTCTTTTTTTTTGTTTGTTTGTCTTTGTTTTTGGAGACAGGGTTTATCTGTGTAGCTTTGGAGTCTATCCTGGAACTTGCTTTGTAGACCTCTGGCCTTGAACTCACAGAGATCCGCGGTCTCTGCCTCCTGAGTGCTGGGATTAAAAGAATACCTTGGACAACATTGTGGCACAATGGGGATTTAAAATCACTTTAAAAAAAATGTGTGCCATTTGTTATTCAAACTTTTTCAAATGAATTTCACTTTAGATATTAATGTGGACAGTTATTGACTTAGGCTGACTTATTAGCTTAGAAATTTTGAGCTTTTCAGTAGTGGAAAAGCTGTCTGCATTTAATAGAAATTTTGAATTTTTGTCTTTTCCCGACCTAGCAACATAATCTCTATGATGCTGGGCAGCGGCAGGAAGCCTCTGGTTCCCACTCACCACTCATACAATGTGGAGAGTAAACAACCAATGTTGTCCAAGGTATTCTGTTGCTATGCCATGGCGTTTGGAAGATTAGAGATGTAACCTACATTTTTTACTTGCATTATTTTCGATTTATAGACTTATTTGGACATAGCCTTATCAAAGTCAGGTATCTGTGCTGCTCACCTCCCTCCATCTACAGATGCTTGCATGACTATAATGTACTTTAAATTGTACTTTGTAAAAACTCTGCTGTTTTCTCTTTAAACAGTGACAGGGTTTTTAAGTTCATTGACACCCAAGTTCTATGTGGCACTTACAGGGACATCTTCTTTGATATCTGGACTAATATTTGTAAGTAGATTTCATTTTCTTCATATCTGTTTTGATCCTCACTTAAAGATTATTTATGTTTTTACAAATTTATAAGTGTTTGTCAGGATTTCCAAAATGTGTTTGATATTTGGAAAAAGTTGCCTAGAGAAACAAGTTTGGGAGGTGCCACATTGCCCTTTCTTCTTTTATGAGTGTGGTAGTATTAATTATATATTAGATTTCTTTTGAGACAGAATCTCATTATGCAGCCTAAGCTGGTCTGGAACCCAAGGTGGGTCTCCTGCCTCTGTCTCCTGAGGGCTGAGATTACAGGGGTGAGTTACCATGCCCAACTTCATTCATTGTATATTAAAAATTTGTATACAGGGACGGCAGATGACTTAACAGGTAAAGGTGCTTGCTGCCAAGTCTGTCTGACATCCTGAGTTGTCTTTTGATCTCCACTCATGTGTGTTTGCATGCTTTTACACACACACACATACACACACACACAAATGTAATTTTTAAAAGGCCTGTATAGTATAATGGGGGAGAGGGTTGGTCAAGATGGACTAGAAATTTAATGATTGTTATTAATTCAAAATGAATGAGGGAATGGGAAGATGGCTTCGTCAGTAAAATGCTTGCCATGTGAACATGAAAATCTGGGTTCAGATTTCCATTGCTCACATTAAAAAGTTGGGAATGTTTGCATACCTGTTATTCCAGCTCTGGGAGGTAGAGACTAGAGGTCCCTGGGGCTTGCTGGCCAGCTATACTAGCCAAAAGTGTGAGCTCTGGATTTAGTGAGAGACCTTATCTTAGACAGTGGGGTAGAGAGTGATTGAAGAGACACCTGACCTCCACGCATATGCACAAATAGTAAATATCCATCTTTCATACTGGAATTAGTGAAATGAGTTACTCTATAACTACTATTATCAACTTTTATACTGTTATTTTGATTTTTCAAATGATTTCAAGAGAATCTGAGCGTCAGAATTTATTTCCTTTAGAAACAGGATCTCATTTAACCTAGTTAACTTGAACTCATTCTGTAGTCCAGAGTGGCCCTTGACCTCCTGGTCCTCTTTCTTTTACTGTATAAGTATACACCATTATGTCCATGTTTGCAATGCTGGGGCTGGAATTCAGGACCTGTATGTACTAGGCAAGCAAGCACTTTACAACTGAACTATGCTCCAGCCCCTGAATATGCAGGTTTTATATAAAATCTTGCAATATTTTGAATTTGACAGCATTGGGCAGATTATAACTTAAAACAAATATTTATTCATTTTTATGTGTATGACTGTTCTGCCTGCCTGTGTGATTGTGCACCATGCATGTGTAGTGCCTACATAGTGTAGGGTGTTTGATTCTCCAGGATCAGAGCCACAGATGGTTGTAAGCCACCATGTGGGTGATGGGAATTGAACCCTGGTCCTCTGGAAGGGCAGTTGGTGCTCTTAACAGCTGAGGCATCTCTCCAGCCCCTGGAGAGATATGACATGTCTGGAATTTAGTCTTCACTTTTCTAAGCCCCAGCTGCCTCTCTGTAAATGGGAAAATAATAGTACTCATTTCACAAGACTATAGGAGCTAAATGAAGTAATGTTAATGTTAATGAGGTAAACATGAATGTTTGTAATGTGGAATTGGCTCAGGGAGCACTTACTGAGTTTTGGCTGTTATCTGAGAAGTTGCACAGTAAGGGATGCCATTTGACTTTAACTCATTTTTTTGCTTCAGTAAGAAATTGCTTTTAATTTTAAAAATATTGTAAAATATGTTATTCATTAACATCTCTAAGGTCTAGAGTTTCTTAATGTATACTTTGGGAAAATTTTGCCCCAGATAAAATTATTAAATATTTATTATGCTATTTTTCTGTTCTTTTTTCTCATCTGTAGGTGGTGCTCTACAGCTTTAGTAGAAATCAGTATTTCTTTGACCTTTTTTAAATCTTTGAGATAAGGTCTCGAAACAGAGTTTGTATTTATAAATGATAAGCCACAGAAATACAATAAAGTAAATGTCCTGATTTGTAAATAGTTCAACCTGAGGAAGAACTTGTCCCAACCCATAATAGTAGCATTGCTAAATATTAGACCAGTACTTTTTGGGTCAGAAAGCACTTTCGTAGGATTCTTGTTAGTTAAATTTCCTAGATGAGGAAACTGAGGCTCTGAAGTGTTAGAAACTAATTGACTTGCTTAATATGCAGTTAATGAAATGTGTAACTTGAATGTCTAATCCTAGCTTAATACTAATTGCTTTAAAGTGGTTTTTAATTATGCTGCAGATAAAATCAAATGACAGCAACACATGAAGAGTTACATTGTAGATTAGATACTCTTTTTTTCTTTATTGAAACTTCCCACTTTCTGTTCTCTACTGGTCTGGTATTTATGGTCCTCCTGCCTCTATCTTCTAAGAGTTGGGATTAAAGGCATGTACTATCACACCTGACTCACTGTTATTATTCTTTAATGTCTTTTAACTGCCTAAGCTTGTCTGAGCATCCTGGTAAATCCATAAGAAAGATATTTTGCTTTTATATGGCATATGTGTTTAGGGAATCTTGGGTTTGTGTTTTTTCTTCTGCTTGCTCCCTCACCCACCCAAGGAGAGATTGTGTATTTAAAGAGCTAAATTGAGTCGGAACATCTCTTTAATTTCTATTTATGAATTGCATTTTAAATGAAAGATGTTTCTCTTTGTTCTAGATATTTGAATGGTGGTACTTCCATAAGCATGGCACATCTTTTATTGAGCAAGTGTCTATAAGCCATTTACGACCACTGATGGGAGGAACAGAGAGTAGCATTTCAGATCCAGGTTCTCCTACCAGCAACAGAGAAAGTGAAACCCTGAGACACCACCATCTATCAGGTAATTTCTCTTTTGGTGTTTTCAGAGTTGTGTAATTAAGCTTAAGTTCACTTACAGAGGATCAGTCTCAAAACAACAGAAGGTATTAGTCTGTGTGCTATGTCCCTTTCACATGTAATGTTGCTAGGAGATAGGGCCTGGGGAGGTGACCACATCATGAAGGTAGAACTTCCATGGGTAGAATTAGTGTCCTAAGGAAAGAGACCACAGAGAGAGAGCTATTTACTCCTATCACTTTATGAGTCCGTAACAAGAGTGCCATTCACAAACCAGAAAGTGAGCCTTTACCAGGCACTAAATCTTCCAACACCTTGAACATGGGTTTCCTAGCCTCCAAAACTATAAGGAATAAATTAATGTTGTTGTTATGATACTCAGTTTGTGGTATTTTGTCATAGTAATCCAAGTAGATAAAACACAGAGACAAACTTGTCTTTTCCTGTTAATGTAGGTAAGCCATTCTGGTATAGAGAGTAGTTATCGTCAGAGTCTCAAACCCCTTCTCTTGTAGCCTGTCATCTCCAGACACTGTTTGTTTGTTTGTTTGTTTGTTTGTTTATGTATTGAGACAGAGTTTCACTATGTAGCCCTGACTGGCCTGGTGTTCTCCCCATAGTCTAGGCTGTTCTAAAACTCAGAGAGATCATCTACATCTGCCTCCAGGGTGCTCAGATTAAAGAGATGCACCACAGTGCCCAGCAGATGCAGGTTTAAATTTGTGGTCCAAGGTACTTGTTTTGTTTTTAGTCATCATATCTACCTTCCATTCAGTAGGAAAAAGAAAAGCCCTCACTTCTCCTAACTCATCCTAATCTATTCAGAAGTGCCTAGCATGCACAAGGCGTGGTTCAATTCCCAGCCCCACCAAACAGAAAGTGTCAAACACTCATAATTCTAGCATGTAAGAGATTGAGGCAGAGGTCAGGAGTTGAAAATCATCCTTAGCTAAGTTTTAAGGAACTCTGTGCTTCATACAGGAGGGTAAAGGTAAAATGACATCATTTTTTTAGATTTACTTATCTTGTTTTATGTGTATGAGTGTTTTGCCTGCTTATATGTCTATGCATCACGTGTGTACCTGGTGCCCAAGGAGATGATAAGAAGTCATTAGATCCCCTGGAAATGGAATTATGAATGGTTGTCAGTCACCACATGAGTTTTGGGAACCAAACTAGGGTTCTCTGAAAAAGCAACAAGTGCCAAGTCACCTCTCCAGCCCCCCATCATTATTTTTGAGACAGGGTCTCATGATGTACCTGGAGCTCATCATTTTGCTACCGAGCTCCCAGAATCTGCCTGTCTTCACTTTGCTAACATAGGATTCCAGAAGTGCACTGCCTTATCTGGCTTTTATTGGGTCCTAGGAATCTAGTCGGGCCCTCATGCTTGTGCAGCAAACACACACTGAGCCATTTCTCTAAAGTATAGCTCTGTGCTTCCTCAGCTTGGACACACACACACACAAAAAAAAAAAACCCTTGGAGGTTTTTAATGTTAGTTCAAATGTCAGTTCCTCTATAAAATCTTCTGTGACCACTTTTTTTTTTTTTTTTTGGTCTTGGAATAAAGCATCTCTGCTTTAGTACATGTCACATAGTTCAGATGGTTGTTTATGTGACTAATTCTCATGCTGTGCAAGTCAATTCCACAAGCTGTGATAGGATCTAGGAATGTACGAGTGGATGAAGTTTAGTAGATCCTATTTTAGAGAGGAAACTGAAAAGCAGATGCTAATCACATGGTTGTACAGTAAGGGCTGTAGCTGAATTATGAACAAAATGCCATTGAGACAGAAATACAGCAGTAACTAGATTTGATACTGTGCTTCCCGAGAGCAAGGGTGACTTGTACCTCTTTCATATTTGTGCTGTATGTGCATGGCACTGTATTAAGTGTTGGTTGGTTAGTGAAAGTTTACCTGCATTTGATTAAACAAAGTTTTACTCTTGTTTTTCAGAATGCAAGGTCTGGAGAAACCCTTTAAACCTCTTTAGAGGAGCAGAATATAGGAGGTAAGACATTTTGCTTTTCAGGGTAAGTGTGGTGTTGGTCTTAGAGTAAAAGTGCTGTGGGATACTTATCTGTCTAAATATTCTGCAGCCTCTTCTAACTGGAGATATGACAATATTAAAGTGAGTGATTTGCTCAAGAGTAGGTATTATCTTGACTGTTTACTTTTTTGTTTGTTTGTTTGTTTTGTTTTGTTTTTTGTGTTTTTTTTTTCGAGATAGGGTTTTTCTGTAGCTTTGGAGCCTGTCCTGGAATTAGCTCTTGTAGCCCAGGCTGGCCTCGAATTCACAAGGATTCGCCTGCCTCTGCCTTCCGAGTGTTGTTTCCTTTTTTTTTAATATAAAAGGAAGTAACAGCTCTTTAAATTTTATTCGTTGGCATTGTCATATGTGTATATGATATATTCTGGTCACACTCATCCCTTCATTTCTCTTACCCTCTTCCCACTCCACCACTTCTCAGTTCCTCTTCCACATGGTTTTCTTTTGTGAGCCACTGGATTTAACCACTGGAGCATAAGGAAGTCACCAGTGGCTATCATGTCTTCCGCTCCTCCTAGGGCCATTGATCACCGAGCTCCCCGGGACAGGAAAGACCCAGGAGCCCCTCTCCCATCAATGACTGAGTGTTTATTGGCTCAGTCTTATGCAGACAGTTGTAGTTATGAATTCATGAGTGTCATGGCCTTGTCACACCCATAAGACAGCATTTCCTAGTCCCCCTCCCCATTGTTTAGATGCTGCATGTTTTTCTGCTCTCTTCTGTAATAGAGGAAAATTAGGAAACAGCCTTCCTCAAGACCCAGCAATACCACTTTTGGATATATATCCAAAGGATGCTCAATTGTGCCACAAGGACATGTGCTCAACTATGTTTGTAGCAGCTTTGTTTGTCATAGCCAGAACCTGGAAACAACCTAAATGCCCCTCAACCAAAGAATGGATAAGGAAAATGTGGTACATTTACACAATGGAGTACTACACAGAAGAAAAAAGATAATGACATCTTGAATTTTGCAGGAAAATGGATGGATCTAGAAAACATTATTTTGAGTGAGGTAACCCAGACACAGAAAGACAATTATCACATGTACTCACTCATAAGTGTTTTTAAACATAAAGCAAAGAAAACCAGCTTACAAATCACAGTCCCAGAGAACCTAGACAACAATGAGGACACTAAGAGAGACTTACATAGAACTAATCTACATAGGAAGTAGAAAAAGACAAGCTCTCCTGAGTAAATTGGAAGCATGGGGACCTTGGGAGGTGTTGAAGGGAAGGGGAGATGCAGGGAGGGGAGCAGAGAAAAATGTAGAGCTCAATAAAAATCAATAAAAAAATATAAAAAAACAAGGTCTCCTGTAGCCTTGTTATATAGTATCCATTTCGTGTAAATCTTTATGAGGAATTCCTTGCTATTGGAAACATATATGATTAGTATCTAGTTTTTAGAACGTTTTACTGAATAATTTATTGTTTTGTTTTGTTTTTGAGACAGGTTCCATTCTGTAACTGAGGCTATCTTGCTATGTGTCTCAAGCTGGCCTCAAACTCATAGGCATGAGCCACCGTGCCAGGATGAACAATTTATTTTTTTTAATGTTTTATTATTGAACCATAGAATAGTACTTTTTTACCTCTTACTGATATAATAAGTTTTAAAAACACCCTGAAATAGAACTTATAGTCACTTATTTTTTGGAACTTAAGTGTCTGTTGTAGCAACTGAAACATCTTGTGTTTGCTACAGATACACTTGGGTGACTGGTAAAGAGCCACTTACTTACTATGACATGAACTTGTCTGCCCAGGATCACCAGACCTTTTTCACCTGTGAAACAGACTTTTTACGTCCTTCAGACACAGGTATGTATTGTATCTGTTCATGCTATAGACGGTCACTATGAAAATTATTTCATGTGTTTTCTGAAGCTATTTATAATAATAACAGTTACTTGGCTTGGTGTTATTTACATTTTAGATAGAAAATTCAAAAATGTTTAATGCTTTTTATTACTTAAAACACCTTCAGAGTCAGGTGGTAATGGTACACTCCTTTAGTCCCAGCACTTGGGAGGCGAATCTCTGTTTCAAGGCCAGCCTAGTCTACAGAGCTAGTTCCAGGACATGCAGAGCTACACACAGAGAAACTCTATCTTGAAAAACCAAGAAAATCAATTAATAGATAGGTAGGTATGTAGGTAGATAGTTAGATAGATAGGTAGGTAGATAGATAGATAGATAAATAGATAGATAAATCAAAAAAATTCAGATCAAATATATCAGAAAATAAAACATATTGCTTTGATCTGGGAAACAATTACCTGACAATAGAGCAGGAACTAGTGAGATAGTCCAGTGGGTAAAGTGCTCACCGTGTACGTCTGACAACAGGAGTTTGAATCTCTAGAACCTATATAAAGCTGTACACAGTACTACACAGGCCTGTAATCCCTGTGCCTCTGTGGGGAGATGAGAGACAAAGATAGGAGACTTCACAGATGTTCAAGAGCCAGCTAAAACAGCTAGCTCCTTCCTATCACAGACAATGTGGAAGGTGAGGACCGCATCCGAGTTTATCCTCTGCCTCTGCACGTGCACTCATGCACACGCATCTGCACATGGAGAGAGAAAGAGAAGCTATGAACTTTGGGGAATGACATGTAGAAGAAACATAGGGCATATTTTATTCTAGTCAAAAATGAAGATTCATGTAAAGTGGTAGTTTATAGAAATGTCCATGTTTTAGGGCCCTCTAAGCTTTTCCCTACAGAGCAGAGTATTATAAGGGCTGGGGATACAACTTAGTGGTAGGGGCTTTTCCTGTCATTTATGAAGCTCTGGGTCTGAGAGCACCAGGAAGTGGCTGAAGGAGTGTATAGCCTAAAGACAGGGTCATTTTCCCCTTTTGTCTACTTTGAATACTTTTGCCTTATCTGTGTGATGACTCACCAGTCACATTCTTTAAGACACCTTCTCTGGAAGCGTCTATACTATAGTATATGTTATATATTTTTTGATGTAATTTTGAATGAATGGATGGATGGCATTGTTATTACACAACATAAGTAATTTCATTAATAATAATTAAACCATGGACAGCATGTGTACTAATTTGATCACTCTATGAGATAAGAACTATTGCCAGCCCCCCTTTTAAAAAGAAGGAGCTAAACTGAATATGGTGGTTTATGCTGTAATCCTAGCATTCTGGAGGCTTAAGCAGGAAGATTGCCTGAAGTTGAAGACCAGCCTGATCCATATAGTTCTAGGTCAGCCTGGGCTACATACACTGTGAGATTGTCTCAAACCCAAACAAACAAGCAAATATGTTTGATTGTCTCAAACCCAAGCAAACAAGACAAAGTATGTAAGTTGAACTAATTGAAAATATAGGAAAAATTGCTTTATGTATGAATGCTCACTGTTTATGGTCACAGCCAATGTATGTTTGTTGAGGGAAACTGCAGTAGATCTCAGCTGTGTTAGGAACTGAGGTATCTTCAGAAATCAAATGTCATCTTATTTCTCCCTCACAAGCTGCTCAGACAGCTCTGATGGTTCTTTAGAACATTCTCAGTTTGAACAGTTCCTCAAAGAAATGTGAAAATCTGTGTGCCTTTTCATACATTTGAACTTCAAATCGTAAGGTTAAATAATTGCGGAGAAAACAATTTTTGTTATATTAGAAAATATAGACTTTAAAAAACAAACCATTATTGCCTTTACTTGGATGTATATCATGAAAATCAGGTTTTACATGTGTGTGCCTGCCAGGATAGATGCTTACATGCCAAGCACATCACAGAGCTAAGAATTTGATGATGACCATTTTCCATCAAAAACTGTAATAATAGAAACAAACACTCTTTAGCAGTAGTAAGCCTTATAGAAGTCTTTTTGTTTTTATTTTTGAGAATGAGCTTAACACATAGTCCAGATCACCTCACATTTGAGAACTTCCTGCCTTAACCTTCACATGTTTGAAATCACAAGTGTGCATCAGTGTAAGGTCCTTTCTTCTTGAGTGCTTGTCTCTTCTGTACCTTTATATAATTTTATAACTATGTTATGCTTGAAAGTCTTTTACTACTCTTGCAACTCTTCCGCAATAGCCATTTTATATGAAATTATATTACATTTGGTGAAAAGATTCTGAATGCTGTGATGTATTTCTTCTTTTATCTACTGTCTATCTATCTGTTTTGGTTTTTTGAGTCTCACTATCTTGTTCTGGCTGTCTTGAAACTCAATATATAGAACAGGCTGGCCTTGAACTCGCAGAGATCCTCCTGTCTCTGCCTCTCAAGTACTGGTATTAAAGGGGTGTGTTACCGCACTTCACTGTTGTGATGTATTTTAATTATATTCTTGTCAAATCTTTAGCAACTATATACGTAACTATTTTTTTCTCCTCAAAATATGCCCTTTAAAGTCCTAATTGGGTATCTTTGTTGTCAATCCAGTCAATCAAAGCATACTGACAGAGAAATCAGTCATTCTCAGAGAATGACCCCATTCTTCATTTTTTTTGTTCAGATAGATATGTAAGCTTCTCCATCATAACTGTTTCTCTTATGTATCAGATTTTTGCTTTTTTTGTGAGATAGGGTCTCTTCTGTAGCCCAGGTTGTCCTGAAACTCATACAGCTCTTGCCTCAGATGGGGTTATAGAACTGTGATACCCAGCTCTGGATTAAGATTCTGAGAAGAAAGATGAAATTTTGAACATTATGTAATGCTTGTTACTTGGCAGACTGAAGCACCGCGGCCTTATTTCTTTCTTGCCAATGAATCCTTTGACTTCCTGTAAGGACCTTCCCTTAGGAATAATTCACTTTTTTAAAGAATTGGGGAAGGGTACTAATGGGACTAATAAAAATGGTTATCACTCCTTAATTAAAAGCATTGAGGAGCCAAATATTCTATTTCTGTTTATTTATTTAGCATTCATTTTTGCAAGATTTTCATGTAGCTCAGGCTGGTGGCTTTAAATTCCTTATACACTGATGATGTCCTTGAGTTTCTGGTCTTTCTGCCTTTACCTGAGTGCTAGGATTATAGCCAGTCCATGTGGAGCTGGGGTTGAATCCAGGGCTTTGCACATTCTATGCAGGAACCCTCCCCAGTGTGGGAGAGTATTATTCTTCACTGTGAAGTTCCACTGCTCAAAGAAAGAAGAAAAGGCAGGAATCCTTATTTTCAGGGGTCTTAATTTGGTGTTACTGCCCTCAGTCAGGCTTGATGGTTCATGCCTTTAACCCTAATACTTGGAAGACTGAGGCAGGAGGATTTTAGCTTTACCTCCAAAACAAAAAGAGAAAAAACAACCCCCAAATCCAAGTAAGTACAGCCATCTCCAAAACTGACTGCTCCAAATCTAAACCGCATTGTACTATTGACACCGAGAGGTCTTGAGCAGGATGTTAGCTGAGCTGTATACACACTGAATCTGTGAAGATTTGGAGTGGGCTAAGAGGCAAGCTTTTCTTTTGTAAGCTCAATGGGAGCATAGCTCTAAGAAGAGGGTTAATGATTATGGTTAGGTAGGAAAGGACTAGTCAGAGGAGCATTCTTCAGGTAAATCAGTTATAGGAAAGAGTCATAGGAATTTTAATAAACTGAGGCTTTTGATAACTTCCCTTCCTTCCTTCCTTCCTTCCTTCCTTCCTTCCTTCCTTCCTTCCTTCCTTCCTTCCTTCCTTCCTTCCTTTCTTTCTGTTTTTGGTTTCAAGATAGGGTTTCTCTTTGTAGCTTTGGAGCCTGTCCTGAAACTCACTCTCCAGATCAGCCTGGCCTCAAACTCACAGAGATCTGACTGCCTCTGCCTCCCGAGTGCTGGGATTAAAAGTGTGCACCACCACTGCCCTGTGATGTTGATTTTCTTAAGACCACACACATCGTTTTGGTTCTTGCAGTTTCTTGTACTTCCAGAGCTGTGTGTAATCCACTAAATACTGAGCTCACAGGTAGACTTTGTTGATGAGAATTCAGAATGAACTGTCAGTTTCGTTTTCATCCTTTCAGACACCCACATAAGTCAACGATTTACATCAGAATAGCTTTTTATGGTAAAAAAAAAAAGACAAACATGCACAAGTGAGATGTGGTAAATTTCCCTTCACTTATTGTCATTGGTAGTCACTATATTGATTTGTTGATTTAAATCTGAGAATAAGCATTTCCTCAAGAGCTAGGTAGCAGTACGCTTTGAATGATATGTTTTCACTTTGAAAATCTAGAAATCAGGATGTTAGCTGAGCTGTATATATCTGTGGTCCAGCTGCTAAAGAGGTTGAGGTGAGAGGATGATGGAGTACTGGGCAACACCGGGTGACCCTGTCTCAGAAAGCAAGCAAAACACTAAGCAGCCAAAACCCTCAAGAGATTTCTCATTAGTGTCCAGTTTTATACTTTAATGGAAGTTGAAAAATATGGGAGTGGACCTGCGAGTCCACTGACTGTGGTCAGCTAAGGGCTGAGCATCTGTGGTTCTTGACCCACAAATAGGCGCAGTTCTTTTTTGTGCTTATAAGAATATTGAAAATATTAATTGAAAAAATAGATAAATCTGGGTGAACTCTTTTGTGTTTTAATTATTTTAATCATATCATGAGCTCTTAGCAGTATTGAATAATAAATCAGTATTTTGATTTAAATTATTTTTAGGCCTTGGGTTTTTTTTAAGTCTTTTTTTTTTTTTTTTTTTTTTTTTTTTAAGACAGGGTTTCTCTGTATAATAGCCCTGACTGTCCTGGAACTCACTCTATAGACTAGTCTGGCCTCAAACTTACAGAGACCCACCTGCTTCTGCCTCCTGAGTGCTGGGATTAATGGTGTTTGCCACCACCACCTAGCCTTTAATCCATTTTTAAGTTTGTATTTCCCCTTTCCCTTTAGATTTAGGAATACCTTGGTTGTAAAGAGCAATCTTGAAAGGTAGGAATGGCAGAGGATTTGAAAACACAAGAATAATAAAACATGCTTAAAGATACATTACATAGATTCATTAGAAATGAAAAAGAAATGCTAGACAGAGGCAGGAGGATCTCTGTGAGTTCGTGGCCATCCTTGTCTTCAGAGCGAGTTCCAGGACAGGCGAGGATGCACAGAGAAATCCTGTCTCAAAAAAATAAAAACAAAGAAAAACAAAAAGCAAAAACAAACAAACACAGTAGAAATTAAAAAATTGTCTTCATGTGTTAAATTAGCCAAGATTGATAATGCAAACTGAATAGCCCTTTTCTGAAATGCTAAGGACCAGAGTGTCCTTTAGATGTTCTTTAATATTTGAGATATTTGTATGTGCATAATGATATATCTTGAGAATGGGACTCAAATCTAAACTCTGAATTCTTGTTTCATATATATTTTATACACATAGGTGGAAAGTATTTTTTGTGTGTTGTTTCGATATTGGTTTGTAGAGATAAGGGCTTATATAGCCCTGTCTAGTCTTTAACTCCTTAAGTAGCCGACACTGGCCTTGAGCGCCCGCCTGGACCACCCACATTCTGGGATGACAGGTATATGCCCCATCCCCTTCTTATTGTGCCTGTGTTTTGACTGCAACCTATCCCATGAAGTCAGGTGCTGATTTTTCCACTTTTGGTTTTATGTTTTGAAATTTTGTATAGTGATGCTCAACCTGGCTTAAAGAGTAAGAAACTGGGGAAATGGCTCAAACTACAAATTAATAATTTTATTGAATGGAATTTGAGTGTATATATTCAAACTCCTTTAAATGCTGTACCTATTTTAAACAAAGAAATATTTGGTCATCTATACAAAGATAGAAGCTGAAAGATTATTTTTTGTTTGTTTTGTGTTTTGTTGTTTTGTATTACAGTACTGAGGACTAAGTCTAAGATTTCAAGCATGCTGGGCAATTTTTTTTTTTTTATCACTGAACTTTATTCCTGGCAATTTTGCTTGTTCGTTTAAGTCAGAGTATTGCTTTGTAGCCCTGGCTAACCTGGTACTTGCAGTATAGTCCTGGTTGGCCTCAAATTCATAGTTATCCTCCTGCTTCAGCCTCCTGAATGTTAGATAAGAGGTTTTCACTATTATACTGGTTGAATGATTGTTATCACAATGGTTTTTTTTTTGTTTGTTTGTTTTGTTTTTGCTATGCTTTGTTTTTTGAGGCAGAGTTTCATGTAGGTCTGCATAGCTCAGGACGACCTTGCACTCTGGATCCTCCTGCTTCCACCCTCCAAGAGCTCTTATGCACAGTTTATTGTGTTTTAATAATAGGAAAGCACTGGAAATAACTTTTCATTGAAAGGGAATTAATTAGATAAATTATGGTTATATACCAGAATATTATATAATCACCTCAAATGCTGGTAAAGATTTGGCATTAAAATTTGGCCTGTAAATGCCGTACAGTTTATAGTAGAGAGTCCTATCATTAAAGGTTTACAAGCCTAGTACCATAGTCTGTTTCTATGTCCTACTTTAGTGTTGTGGCAGACCGATGCTCTTTACCTGGCCAGAATCAAGCAGTGCTGGCTTGCATCAATTTGTCAAGTTCAGGAAGCATTAGCTGTCAGCTAGCTGGTGACATGTTTGAAATGAAAAATGTATTTTTGTTACACATGTGGAATATATTGTCTCATTTTCTGAGCCAAAACTAATATTTTGTTTCCAAAGGAAAATTCAAACATTTTCCACATTATTCTTTCTGGACAGTTATAGGTTTTATTCCAAAGTCAACATTTATAAGTTCTCCATTTTTCTTATCAAATATAAAGTAAGCCAGGTATTTCCAAGAATCTATTTTGTGTGTGTGTGTTTGTTTAGCTTTTAGGAGACATCATGTATCGTGATATCTTCATGTAGCATGATATCTTCATTTGGTTCAGTAAATAGTAGCAAAGCCCATCCCATTATTCCAGAGAAATCCTAACTCAGGTTAGTTTTGACTTTTGATAAAGCTGAGGTTTTCCAAAGATGTGCTGTATTCTAAATTATTCCAGTCTTCCTTCCCAGTTTTCATAGAAAATGCACATCTACACATTTTTCCTATGCTGAATCATTGATTAGATTAAACAAAGACTGTTTAGCTTTTGTGTGTTCTTAGTGGTTCCACGACCTTTTCAGAACAGTGAAAGTAGGACTGTCCTGTCTGTTATAATCTAGTGTCAATCAAGCTCAATTTTGACGTCCACTTAGATACATAAATGTCATGCATAAATATGATGTGATTAATTCAGTTAAAGTACTTTATGTTATGAAAATAGATCATAGAATATTTTTATTATATGCAAAGTTTCCAGATTTAAAATAAATTTCTCATGTAAATGTGAGTTAGTAACCCAGTTTCATATGTTTAAAAACATGGTATTTAAAGCTTTGTTTACTCTTTTAGCTCATTCTTCATACGTTTTACATAGATTATTTATGTTTACCATCTCATCCACTCTTTGAAATATTTTTCCCACAGTTATGCAGAAGGCATGGAGGGAAAGAAATCCTCCAGCTCGAATCAAAGCAGCCTATCAAGCTTTAGAGTTAAACAATGAGTAAGTTGGAAAAATAAATTTGTTTTAAAGGAAACACAGGCAAATAATTTTGTATTTCCTTTATCTGCTCATAAGATTAGGAACACTGGCGTCTCCATTCCTGTCTCGCATACTGGAGATCAGATTCTGAGTGTTCAATGATGTCTATATTTTGCTTTTGAAAGTGTAAATTGCACATATGGTTTTACATAAAAGTATTTTAGAAATTCTTTTTAAAATAAAGATTACTAATAAAGAATGCTAATAATCCTTAGTAGTTAAATGATTAGTTAAATATTTATGCCACTGTTTTATTTTGTTTTTCATTTAATTCATTCATTTAAAGCACTCATCAGTTCTGGGAACTTATACTCAACAATGGGCTCTGAGACATAATAAAAGGATTCAAAATTAGCAAAATAGCTGTCAGTTTTTTCCATGTTAACAGCATATACTTACATAGCTTTTTAGATTATCTGTTTATCTTAAGAGTACAGAAATGTAAAACAGCTAGTTAGTGTTTAAATGGCACAGATCAGTGACTTTTAATTGAATATATCCTAAATAATGTTAGGTGGGACCATTCAAAGAATGGCTCCTGGCTAATATGAATCTAGAGTTTCCCTTGTTCCTTTCCTGTCAGTAAAAAGATCCTCCTGAGTGAGCAAAATAATGCCCCAATGCTCTCTACCTAGTGGCTGGCTGACTAGGGTTTGACTGACTTATGACACTGTAAAATATCAGAGCTTTACTGAAGTCACCTGGTGATCGCTCAGTCAAGTGCAAAGTACCTAAATACAAGGGAACTCATTCTCCACTCTCTATCTCAGTGGTATTCTTAAAGACAAAATGCACAGCCAGACAGAGGTGTATAGTGCGGGGAACAGACAGAGGTGTGTAATGCGGGAACAGACAGAGGTGTGTAGTGTGGGAACAGGCAGAGGTGTGTAGCGCGGGAACAGGCAGAGGTGTGTAGCGCGGGAACAGACAGAGGTGTGTAGTGCGGGAACAGACAGAGGTGTGTAGTGCAGGAACAGAGCTAGGATTGTTGGTTTTTACTAGTACGATGATTCTTTGAAGCACCGGCACAAAGGGCTTGCCCTGTTTCATTTACCTTAAGATTCTCTGAATTGAACATACAAAAAACAGAGAAAAATGTGTTGTTAGCTTTCTGATGCAAAGCATAGAACAAATGTAGGGACAAGAAAATGGAGAAGCCGGAAAATTTGTGAGGAAAGGTCAGGGAGTGAGACACTGGAGAATATTACATTGGAAAGCTTCCACAGATTCCTGGGAGCCTCAAAGACCCAATTTTTCACAGAGTTGGGCACATGCTCAGAAATACTTGATTTTCAAGGCCTTTTAAGCCCATACATTATCTTAATTCATGAAAAAAAAAACTGACAAAATCCAACAGCATTTTATGATAAAATTACTAAAAAATGTTAGATATGTGAGGAATGCTCTATCTGGATAATATTGAGACTGGCACAAGTGAGAAATGAAAGCTATGATAGTTGTAAAATACCTGAGTGAATGTTGAAAGTGCTCCCTGGTGCACACGCACACACACACACACACACACACACACACACACACACAGAGAGAGAGAGAGAGAGAGAGAGAGAGAGAGAGAGAGAGAGGAGAGAGAGAGAGAGAGAGAGAGAGAGAGAGAGAGAGAAAGAGAGAGAGAGAGAGAGAGAGCGCCTTCCTTGGAGACTTTGTTTTTGTACTTTTTTCCTAGATATTTAACAAAACTTTACCTGATAATTAACCGACCACTGTGCTAACCAAGCACCCACCTTATTGGTCATACATGGAAGAGTACAGAATTTACAAAATCATCAGGAAAGCCAGGAAACAAACAACTACAATGGCAGCAACAACAGAGAGGTTACAGAAAATCCCATTCTAGGGTTGCCAGAATATTAGAGTTTAAAATGACAGTTTTCAACCAAAAATTATGAAGCATGCAAAGAACATGGGTGGGGTGGCACATGCTTCTAATCTCAGCAGTCAGGAAGCTGTAACTGAACTCTGGATTAGCCTGGGATACAGCCAGACCCTGTTACCAAACAAAACAACAAAACCAGCAATCAGAGAAACAACAGAACAAAAATGAGGAAAAGTATCCATGGAAATGTTTCCAAAGAAGTCTGAACTTTTGACTTCGTAGATCTTAAATCATCTACTTTAAATTCGTTCAAAAAGGTAAAAATCACAAGAAAGGTCTATGGTGATGTTTCACCATTAGAAAATTTTCAATACATTTTTGAAATCCCAATAAGTGCAGCTGGGCACATAAGGGACTAAGAGGAAATCCTTGGATTGAAAAATACAGCTGAAGTAAAAATGTACCGTAGGGAGCTCTGTACAGATTTGAGCAGACAGAAGAGTCAGCAAGGCTGTGTTAGGCCCTTTGAGCTTATGTAGTCTCAGAAGTAGGAATATGAGCCCTGTGGGGCAGTCAGTCTTGCCACCCTACATATAACTGGAGTCCCTGAAATATGGGAGAGAGGAAAACAGGGCAGAAATAGTATTTGAAGAAATAATAGCCAAACCAAGATATTAATATACTGAAACCAGAAGCATTTGGAAAATATACATGAGGACCGATTGGGGTTTGTTACAATTGAAGAATTTCGACACATGAAGGGAGGAATCTACATGATTGTCTCAGGTGTACAGAAAAAGCCTCTGACAGTTCAGTACTGTCATGACAAAAATATGTGAAACTAACTAATGTAATGTTAATAGAACAAAGTGCAAAACCCACAAGTTATCTTAGTTGGTTAAAAGTGTATTTGACAAAATCCAACATTTTATGATAAATACTAAGAAATATAGATGTAAGGAATCCCGTTCAAACTAACGAGGGATCTCTGAAAAGCCAGCACCTATGGACACTTAGTGATGAAAGACTGCAAGCTATTTAAACCAGGAAGACAAGGATGCCTGCCCTCACTGCTTCTGTTTACATGTTATCAGAACTCCTAACAAGCACAGTTAGGCAAGGAAAGGGAAAAATGTATCCAGATTTGAAAGGAAGGAGTAAACTGTCTATATTCACAGGTGGTGTGACCATATGTCTAGAAAACCTTAAGAAGATTACACAAACAAAATCCTCTCAGTGCTTATAATCTAGGTTAAATATGAGTGAAAAGTTAGCAATTTCATTTACAATGGCATCCCGCATATGAAAGTGCTTAGGGGTAAGCTTGGCCAAGAAAGTATGAGGCTTGCACACTGAGAATTAGAAAACAGCTGGGGAGAAGCAGGTCTGTCTGCTGACCTGAGCGTGACCCCAGAACCTAGGAAGAAGAGAACTGACCCCCAACAGTCATCTTCTGACTTATATGAATGTGGTGGTCTATGTCTGCCACATTTATATGCTCAAAGTAATTAAAAACAACTTAAAACCCCACAAAATGTTATTCAAGCAGCAAAGAAAAAAAGAAAAAAAAGCTGAATTATACACACACACACACACACACACACACACACACACACATCCATATATGACACAAGTTCGATATCTTTAACTGAAATGTCAGTGCTCCCCTGTATCAATCTGCAGATTTAATCTATCCCCTGTTAAAGTTACTACTGCTGGAGTCAGAGAGAAGGGTCAGTTGTTAAGAGTACTAACTGCCTTTCCAGAGGACCCTGATTTGATCTCTAACAGCCACGTGGCAGCTCACGATCATCTGAAGCTACTTCCACTTCTAGGGGATCCAACATCCTCTTCTGGTCTCCATGGGTATTGCATGCATTGATACATATACATGCAGGCAAAACACTCATACATGTAAAAAATTAAAAAAAATAATTAAAATCACTGTTACTATTTTTGCAGAAATTGACAAGCTGGTCTTAACATTTGTGTGTAGTTGCAAAAGAATCTAATTAGCCAAAAACAATCCTAGGACCACATTAGAAGACTCATATTTTAAAACTTTCTACAAAACCAGATGTTAAACCATAAGATTAAATGCCTAGACTGACTTACTTAGACTTACTGTGAATTAAGTCCATATATTTATGGGCTTTCAGTTGATTTTTGATGGAGGTGCCAAGGCTATCCAAAAAAAAAAAAAAAAAAAGAAGTTGGGCTATGGTGGCGTATGTCTGTAATCCCAGCATTTGGGAGGCAGAGGCAGGTAGATCTCCATGAGTTTGAGGCAAGCCTGGTCTACAGAGAGTGTTCCAGAACAGACAAGACTATACAAAGAAGCCCTGTCTTGAAAAACCAAAATCAAACTGAAGAAGAGGAAGAGGAGGAGAAAAGAAGAAAAGAAGGAGGAGGAAGAGGAAGAAGAAGGAGAAGGAGGAAGGAAGAGAAAGAAGAAGAAGAAGAAGAAGAAGAAGAAGAAGAAGAAGAAGAAGAAGAAGAAGAAGAAGAAGAAGAGAAAGAAGAAAATAGTAGTTTTTAACACAATGCCAAACAATTGGATAGTTACATCTACAAGCTGGCAGTTGGACCCAGATGCTACATATACATATCAATTAATTAAAAAATAAGTAACTAAAGTATAAACTCTTATAAGAGAACATGGACTGGGTTAGGGATGCAGGTCAGTGGTAGAGTTCTTGCCTAGTGTGCTTGCAACCCTGCAATTTTGCCCTGTAAAAGAGAGGGGAGGACAGGAGGGATAGTCTTATGTCCCCAGATTTCCCAGTGGTTTAACAGATACAACAAAGGCAGAAGCAATAGAAGAAAAAGTAGGTAAGCTGCCTTATTAAGCAAAACCTCTGTGCACCAAAGGACACATTAAAGAGGTGCTGTGTGACTGTGGGCCGGGAAGCAGGAGAGACAATGGAACTGCTGAAAGGGTATGGTGCTTTTGGGGGTGATGAAGATGCCATATGTACCTGTTATAGTTACACAACCTTGAGAATATAGTAAAAGTTTCTGAATTTTACAGTTGAAAATGTTTTGCACTGGTGGGCCTGCAAGATGGCTCAGCTGGTAAAGGTACCAGCCGCCAAGCTGATGGCTTGACTTTGATCCCAGGACCTATATGGTGGAAGGAGAGAACCAAATCCCACGAGTTGTCCTCTGACCTCCACATGTGTTCTGTGATATACACACAGGCACACATAATAAAAGTTACGTACCTGAAATAGAAAATGAAATTTTATACAGGCATGTGAATTTATCCCCAGTTTCAGACAAAAGGAAGTCATTAGGTATGCATAGGACTCATTTCTTGTAATAACATATCTAATGCAAGAATAGAAGGCAAAGTTGCCAGGAAGCACAAACTATAAGCTAGGATGTGGTTTGGTGGTGGTGGTGATGGTGGCAGTACTGGGGGCCTTGCACATGATAGACAAGTGCTCTGTCCTTGAGCTACATTTCCAGCCCCCGTTATTCACTTTTTGAGACAGTCTTACTAATTTGCCCAGACAGTTCTCAAACTTGTGCCCTCCTGCCTCAGTCTTCTGAGAAACTGGGATTACAGGCCTGTGCTGCCAGACCTGGCTTGTAATTTAAAGTTATATTAGGAGCTGGGGATGTATCTAATGGTAGTCATTGCCTACCATGTGAGTTCCTGAGTTTTATCCCCAGCAACACAAAACTAATGATAAAATTATGTTTATATTTAGAGTCTGTTTCATCAGTTTTATCAAGGTCTTTATCCAAGTGGTATTTTGTTTTGTTTTGCAGTGCACTGGGATCGAACCCAGGGCCTCAAGCATGCTAGGCAAGTGCTATTCCACTGCTATACCCTCAGCCCTACAAAAATATTTCTATCCTGGTTATTTAAAAGTTTTTGAAACAAAACATTAAATTCAAATATTTGATAATGGGCATTGTGACATATATCTCTAATTACCAGCACTTGAGAAGCTGAGTCAGGAGAATGAGAGTTCAAGGCTAGCCTGGGCTGTGTTGCAAGATTCTATTGCAAACAACATTGAATTTGTTTTTGGAACAGCAAGCAGGATACCTAGTGTTTAAACCAGCAACATATCTATATATCTAATGTTTTATCAAAGTCCAATGTTATACATTGGAGAAATGTGTTGATTAGTAACATTATATATACAAAGTTACAGTGCTATTTGAAAAATACCTTAGTGGTGCGATTTGATTTTTGTATCTTAAAGGCCCTTCTTGACCCTCATTGAGGATAGGTACCTTTTTCTTTTATTCTTCAGTAGTAGACAGGGGCCTATCATAGATCCCAGAGTACATAGGTACTTCTATAAAGTCAATGCTGCTCCCAAACTCCAGGTCCTTTTACCTCAGGGTTCTAAGTGTTGGAATTGTAAATGTGGATGATAGCTACTCACTGTCACCGTGTTTCATGCCAGCCCTTGCATTTGTTGCCAATAATCTCTGTTTGATTGGAACATGTGAACCATATATGTAACTTTTTAGATTTGAAAAGTTAAAAGAAGTTAGTTTGAATGCCTCAATTATCTAGATTCAAAATATAAAACATTTTCACATATGATCAATGTTTTAAAAGCCTGTCCATGAGATATTTTACATTTTCTCAGTCTTTAAAATCTAATATGCACCAACATGTCATGTCAGTTTAGATTAAGCACATTTCAGGTGCTCCAAAACTACTTGTGGCTACTGACTTGAATGTTGGACTGTGCAGGCCTGGACAAGCAGAACTAAGACATCTTCAGACTAAATGTACTTGTCTGGAAATACATGGAAGGGAGACTTTGTTTTTCTTTATTGCCCAAAGCCAAGAATTAGTTTATTTTATTGGCCAGCTGTTGACTTTAAAGATACAAACAAAAATCTCTGTGTTTTATCAGGGTGAAGAAAAGGAAGCTTGGGATAAACATGGGTGTGAGTTGAGCATAGGTATATGAGAGGAAGGCCTGGAATGCAGCCTTGTGGAGGATAAGCCCAAGAGAAGACATAGAGAGAACACTTGGATTGTAGGAAGCACTTAGTGTAGGAATGTGTCTGGTCAGATATGGAGAACCCTCATTAGCCAAGCAAGCCTTCTCAGTGTGCACTCCTTTAGTATCCACATGATGTGGACATTGCAGAGCAAGCAGAGCCTGAGAGCAGGCCTGACCAGTGGGTGGTGAGGTCCTTACAACTACTTCTTTAGACAATGTTTTATGTATCTTTCTTTTTCTCCCCTTCCACAAAAAGAAAACACAGGGTCAGAGAACAGAGCTAGAAATAGAAAAGACAGAAAATAGTGGAAGAAACATTGTGGGGTTGGACATAATGAATATGCTAGTGTACCCCTAGTGACTTAAAATGCTAAATGACGTTTTATTTTTCTCCTCAAAGATGGAAAGTGTAGGTACGGATGAGGGAAGCATGACGTAGCAAGAGGCCTGTCCAAGAGAAGCGTGAGTGTCACCGCAGTACTTAACATAGCCTTGCTTGCTTCATAGCTGTGCCACTGCCTACGTTCTGCTGGCCGAAGAGGAAGCAACAACCATCGTAGATGCTGAAAAGTTATTTAAACAGGCGCTCAGGGCGGGGGAGATCATTTATAGACGGTCACAGCAGTGCCAACACCAGAGTCCTCAGCATGAAGCTCAACTGAGTAAGCAAACTTGAACTGGCTATTACTCCTCTCTCTCTCTCTTTTTTTCCTTTTGGTTTCTGGAAGTGTTAGCCTCAAATTTGCCATGTAGATGAGGATAACCCAGAACTGATCTTCCCTCCTGTGCTGGGATATAGTCAGGTGCTACCAGGCCCAATTCTGTCTTTAGCTCCTGAACTTTGTGTTTAAAGCCTGAAACAATAATAATAAAGAATATGTAAAAGTTTGATATTTGTCATGAAACAACCGATAGATTCATTTTTCTGGTCTATTAATTCTAACCTTCATTGTATTTCCTCTTCAGTCTGTGGCTCTGTATGTGGCGCCCAAGGGTGGTTCCTTCCCTTCTCCACTTTGCTCTTCTTTCTTCTTTTCTTCCTTTATTCCTTTTTCCTCCTGTTGCTTTTGTTTGTTTGGTTGTTTTGTTTTATTTTGCTTTAAGGCGGGGTCTTGCTATTATAGCCCAGGTTGTCTCTGAATTTGGGATCCTTTTTAGGGATTGCTCTTTTGACACCATCTGATTTTCAGTCCATACTCCAGTCTCGCATGTGACAGTGATTCTTTGCTGGTTTTCTCCAGCATGCTTGAGATAGGATGAAACACAGGGACTGTTTTCTTTTGGAGATGCTCTTCTGGTTAGGGTTGCGACACTTACCAAAGCTGTTAGAATCGGCAGTGTTGCTGTTTCTGGCTGAGATTTGTGGCCAGGGGGTTTTAGTTTCATGATTTTGGCAGATACTGGGCAATAAATTGAAATATGTTTACACAAGGCATTATCTCTTAGCAGCAAAGCTCTACATCTTTTGTTTATGGAAATTAAAATTTGGCTAATGTTTTCTCTCAGTTAAATACTTGTGTTTACAATATATTTCATTAAGGCATGTTATTATACAAAACTATGGGAATAGTTAATATTGCAGCCTGGAACTAATGAAACTACATCTATAAAAAACCTCTTGCTGTTTCCCCTTGCATAATACCAAATGAGGTCATCTAGTAGAATTTTTAATTTTAAAAATTATACTTATTTATGTATGTGTATTTGTATGTGTATATTTGTGCATGCACATATGCGTGCATAGAAGTCAGAAAACAACTTGTGTGTCAGTTTTCTCCTTTTACCATATTGGTCCCAGGGATCAAACTTAGGTCAGCAAGATTGACAAGCAAGCATCTTTTACCTGTTGAACCAGCTCACTAGCCAATGATAAAGCTTTTCTCTTAGTCCTTAATTAATTATTAACTTAATAAAAGTTTATATTATTCATGGAATTTTGTTTAAGGCATTTAGAATCTTTGGGCCAAAATAATAGTACTAAAATTATATATTGTTTATACAGAAACTGAGATAGACAAATATATCTTTCTATTAATATATACTTGTTTTCTGCCAGTATTAAACTCATCAACCGAATGAACTATATATACTACATTCAAATTGCTTACTACTAGAGGAAAAAGTAATTAAGTATATATTTTAAGTGTTTAATATTGAAACCACACATAATAATAGAGAACATTTCTTATTTATCACCTAAATTTAATATTCACTAATAAAATAATAATGCATTTTGGTATAAATTAAACTTAATTTTAGTAGGTTTTTCAGGATAAGCAAATAAAATTAGTGGATAATATTTTTTTAGTGGATAATATTTTAATGAAATGTCAGGTCATAATACAAAATGTGATAGTTGTATCATTTTCTTATTTTTCTAAATAGGGCGAGATACCAATGTACTTGTATATATAAAAAGAAGATTGGCAATGTGTGCAAGAAAATTGGGAAGAATAAGAGAAGCAGTGAAAATAATGAGAGATGTGAGTAAATTTGATAACAGAACCATTATTTCTATAGTCCCGAAGACTAAAAAAAATATCAGTTATTTCAATGCAGAGTCACTGTTTTTCAGTTGCCTATTTCTATAACAGGGTAGTATATATTTTTTAAAAAATTTATTTATTTATTTATTTTATTTATATCTTGAGACAGGGTCTCACCTTGTATCTCTGGTTGGCCTGGAACTTTCTGTAGACCAGGCTGGCCTTAAACTTACAGAGATCCACCTGCCTCTGCCTCCTGAATAGGATTAAAGATGTGTGCCCCCATGCCCAACTAGGATATTTTTAATGTGCATACATTTCTTAAGGTTTTGGTATTTATAAGTTTGTAAAAAAGCAAAATAATTTATACTTTAACAAACCTAGTTCAGCTCCTCTGAGTTTTCTGTCATGATTTGTTTTGATTTTAATCTTTTTTTCCTTCTTTAATATACAGTTGATGAAAGAATTTCCTCCTCTTACCATGTTGAACATCCATGAAAACCTCTTAGAATCACTTCTAGAATTGCAGGCCTATGCAGATGTTCAGGCAGTCCTGGCAAAATACGATGGTGAGTTTGTGTGTGTGTTAGTAGATAGCATGGTTAGTCTCTGTTCGGCTGTGTAATCGTCAGTGTCTTCAGTCGCCTCTTTCCAGTCTTAGCAGTCAGTTTGGAGGTGTAGGTATAGCTGCTGGGAAGCGTCTTCTTTATCTGCCCTTGCTGAGCCGGAAGCCTACAAGAAGGAGCTTCTCCTCTATGAGGACGTGTTCTTTATTACTTGAGTCTATGTGAGACACCTAGAAAGCGGTGGTGGACATGAAAACATGGATTTAACCCTAATGGCATTTGCAGCTTAGTGGCACACAGAGAGAACTGGGCAGTAGTTCCACTGAAGGTAGCCTATGAAGAGAGGTGACTGTAAAAGTGTAGGCATTGTGCACATAGCGGGGTGCTCCATGAATTTTGGCATATAAAGAATACCAGTAGGGGGCTGGAGAGATGGCTCAGAGATTTAGAGCACTGGCTGCTCTTCCAGAGGTCCTGAGTTCAATTCCCAGCAACCACATGGTGGCTCACAACCGTCTATGAGATCTGGTGCCCTCTTCTGGTGGGCAGGCATACATGCAGACAGAACACTGTATACATAATAAATAAATTAATTAAAAAAAAGGATACCAGTAGTAGTTGCATAATAATCTTTATAAGAATAATTCATGGGGCTGGTGAGATGGCTCAGTGGTTAAGAACACTGACTGCTCCTCCAGAGGACCTGGGTTCAATTCCCAGCACCCACATGGCAGCTCGCAGCTGTCTTTAAATCCAGTTCAAGAGAATCTGACATCATTATACCAATGTGCATGAAATAAAGTTAAATAAAGTTTTAAAAAAAGAATAATTCAGAATAAAAGCTTTACAATGATTTTTAGTTATATGAAGTACTTTATAGAATTTCAGTGCATCCCTATAATAAACATGTGAAGTGGTAGGACAAGTGTTTTTATTCTTAACTAAATTAGGAAATGGGAGTTTAAGAAGGTTAAATATTGGGTAATGTCTTCCAGTGAGTGAGTGGCAAACCTGAGCCATAACGCAGCCATTCCATTTCTATGTTTACTAGTCATTTGATAAGAATAGTTCCATGTATTAACTATTTGTATTATTATAATAATAACAGTTGACTACAAGTGGAGTTGGAAAAATGTTAAAAACACAGACTTTTGCCTAGTGGTCGTGATGGTGCACGCCTTTAATTCCTGCACTCAGGAGGCAGAGACAGGCAAATCTCTGAGAGGCCAGCCTGGTCTACAGAGCAAGTTCCAGGATGGCCAGGGTCTCACAGAGAAACCCTATCTCAAAGAAACAAAGAAAGAAAACCACAGACTTTCCCCTCATTCAAAGTAAGACATGTGCTCACTTTGCCTCCCACTTAGATCCTCCTGCCTCTGCCTCTGCTTCCCAAGTCCTGGGGTTAAATGTATATGCCACCATGTCCAGCTAGGATTTTTTAAACTGTGCATACATTTCTTAAGGTCTAGGGCTTCATAAGTTTATTTTTTAAAAAATCTTACTTTAATAACCCTGGCTCAGTTCTCCTGAGTTTTTCTGTCATGATTTATTCTGATTGTAGCCTTCCCCCTTTTAATATACAGTTGATAAAAGTTCATGCAGCAAACCTCCTAGCCCTGTTTCTGCTCATGTCTTTCATTAGAACCAAACATGGAAAGTCACTCACCTTTGTCTTGTCAGAGGTTCCTCCCACTAGTTTAGGAATCCCCATGACTTGAGAAAGTTGAAATGTGATACACTTGGAAGGTGAAATTGCTTTCTTTTATACATCTGGAATTTTTAGGCAGATCTTCACAATAGTTTAGACTCATAGGAAAATTTGTGAGCAACCCATTCCATTTGTAACTTACTGGGAACAGGGCCTGTGGTAGTATTTGTGATGTACAAGCTTAGGAGCTGAATATCCAAAGTCAGAAGGGGACCTGATTTGTTTAGAATAAAGGAAAACCCACTAAATTGATAGGGCCTGCGTCATTTGGTGTGCGTCTGTGGGTTAGTGTTTACACGGCTCACCGTACATCACTGTGCAGACCTGTAGTCGTTGGAAACCAGCTTCCTCCCTGAGATCTCCACCCACTGTAGTCTAGAGCTGAGAGTGTCATGCAAGTGCGCACTCTCTTCTAAGACCACTGTTTAGGCGGTTTTCTGAAAAATGATTTATTTTGTTTATGATCTCAAGTTAACTTCATACTCTATAAAATGTGGTCCTTTAAGAAAATGTAAAAAAGCTAAAAACTTAGGGAAAAAGTTAAAATTAATCCAGATATAATAGCAGTTAAGTATTTTAATTTTTTTAAACCTTAGTTTTTACATTTAATTATACTGTGGATTTCTTCTGACTAGTCTTATTGTAAACAGATTATTGTCGATGTTTTTAGAATACCTGTTGTCATCATATAGAGGACTTATATCAACATAGTTTAATCTCTACTAGGAGGTATGGAAAGAGGTCTAGACTGGGTGGTGGTGTTGCACCCAGGAGGTAGAGGCAGGCAGATCTTTGTGAGTTTGAGGCCAGTTTGGTTTACAGGAAACTACACTGGGAAACACCGTCTCGAAAAACCATAGAGAGAGAGAGAGAGAGAGAGAGAGAGAGAGATCTCAATAAAGTTGCTACTAGCCCAGGGATATACCACTAGTAAATAGTAAAATCTAGAATCAAACTTAGGCCTTCCAACAATGTGTCCAGATGCCTATGTCACTGTTTTGCAGCTGATGAATTTGTACTATGAGTTATAATTTTTTATTCCTACCTAAGTTGACAATATTGTTACAGATATAAGCCTTCCAAAATCGGCAGCCATCTGCTACACAGCAGCACTGTTGAAAACAAGGACTGTTTCAGATAAGTAAGTCCTTTTGAAACCACAATCATTGGGAAAGACCGCTGGACTTTTAATAAGGGTTTTTTCTCTACTGACTTTTAAACAGTGCGCTTTCTCCTTTCTATTTCCTCCTGAATAACCCTACTCTTTTGTGACTGAGGTTTCTCACTGCATGTGGTTTGATGACAGAGCTTTTTAGAGTTAAGTAAGCTGGGACTCAAATTCAAACTACCAAACAGTAGATGTAGCTGGGCAAGGTGTTACTTTGAGAATAATATGGTTGGGTGGTGGCTGGAGAAATTGCTCGGTGGTTAAGAGCACTGACTGCTCTTTAGAAGACCTGGGTTCAGTTGCCAGCACCCATCTGGCGCTCAACAACGATCTGTGATTCCAGTTCCAGGGAACCCAACACACAGACATACATTCAGGCAAAATACAAATGCACATGAAAATAAAATTATAAAAAAGAAATAATATTGCAGGGTGGTTGTATGAGGATGATATGTGCCAAGTTACTACAGCAGGTTCAAGAGAGCCCACAGAGAACTGAGTGTGCAGCTCATGCCTGCAACACCAGCGTTCGGAAGAAGGAACAGGAGTCAAAGCTAGCCTTGGCTGCATAACAAGCTAAAGGCCATCCTGGTGTATATATGTCTCAAAAAAAAAAAAGTACACCTTTAATGTGGTAACAGTGATGCTGGTAACAAGAAGGTACAGGTAGACAAACAGGTTTTATCTTGCCCTTCGACTGAAGTTACTCTCCCTTCCTTACACTTTTGGCTCTCCTTAGTCAGTTCTCTTTATTTGGCAGCTGAGATATTCAAAATCTGGATAGGTCCAGTGATGAGACCCTATCTCAATAAAAAAATTTTTATTTAATTGAGAGTCGGAGACCAACCAAATGGTGCTCATCATTTTCACCTTAGAGTAGTGTATGTCTTGATATAAATTAGAATAAAATATTCAGTTTCTTGTCACCTAAAAATTTTATAAAAGTCTGTATTGCCTTTGCTAGATTTTCTGAGTTCCTCAGTGGCATTTCTTACTGTAGCCACCCTTCTCAGAGTGGGCTCAATGAACCTCTCCAAAGGCTCTCTGTACTTCAGGCTGCGAGTTTCATTCCTTCTGTGGCCTGGTGCACACTGTTGAGCCAGAGGCTTTACTTTCATTTTTATTGGTTGTATGGTTTTGCCTTTGGCCATTGCCAGAAACATCCTTGATTTGAGGAATATATTGTAATCTGAATCCATGTATATCATTCCCATTAGACTGTGTACATGTAGTTTGTTCATTTCTTCGTCCTGTGGTTTTCTTTACAGATTCTCTCCAGAAACAGCATCCAGAAGAGGGTTAAGCACAGCAGAAATTAATGCTGTGGAAGCAATTCATAGAGCTGTGGAATTTAATCCCCATGTTCCCAAAGTAAGATATTTTATTACAAAAATACTACACTTTCAATTAAATTTAACAAATATATGACAGTAGACCAAAATGACAGTAGACCAAAATGTATGGTTTATCATACATTAGATCAGAATTGTTTTAGTCTGTTCTATTTGCCATTCATCTTGAAAGGGATACTAATAAGGCATTTAGGAACAGTTTGAGGTCAGGGATGTAGTTCTGTTAGTAGTGCTTATGTTGCATGCATGAAGCCCTGACTTTAATATATAGTGCTGCAGAAACCAAGCCTGGTGGTGGTTCATGCTTGGAATCCTAGAATTTGGAATGTAGAGGCAAAAGGATCAGAAATTCAAGCTCTCTCTCTCTCTCTCTCTCTCTCTCTCTCTCTCTCTCTCTCTCTCCTATATAGTGAGTTCTAGGCCAGCCTAGAATACATTAGTCCCTGTTTTTTGTTTGTTTGTTTGTTTTTTTAAAAAAGAAACCTGCTTAGAAGCAATTAGTTCCCTAAGAGCTTTGTAATTGCTGGCTGAATAAAACCTGAATTGTGTTTACTTAACTTCCTTTTCCTCAATATTGGTGATGAATGCAGTTGCATTCCAGACCTACTTTATTATAGTTTTAGAGAATAAACAATTAAGTGACTTGATTGCTATGGATAATTTATATTTCAGATCACAGAATTAATATTCCTGTATTGTCAAGGCTTTTCTAGGTGCATGACTAGGTTTTGAACTAGGACTGAGTAGACAAGAACTGAAATCCAGGAAATTAACCAATGAGAAGTTATAGCAGATAGAGAAACTGCTAAGTTGATGTTTGTTGGAACTCAGATGAATTGACCTACTCTATTTGTCTTTATATTGTACATTTTACATTTATATAAATTATTGGCTAATCTATGTAATAGTATCCAAATACCAAAACATCAAACCCAAGATTAAAATTTGGATTTTATAAACAATTTCCCATATTAGGACCTACAAACTCTTCAGGAATAGATTCTCTTCCTACTGTATGAAATTATAGCTATGATTCAGTGTATAAGTGTTAATGGAAGTTGTAGAGCCTGCAAGGTGGCCAGTTTATTAAGTCACCTGCTGCTAAGCCTGATGGCTGGAGTTCATTCACCAGAACCCTCATGGGAGAAGGAGAGAAACAACTCCTGCAAGATGTCCTCTGATCACAACATAAATAATGTGTCACCTGTGATTCTACATACACAAATACAGTAAATAATGTCAGAAAAAAAACATTAATCCCTAAAAGAAAGTCCTCAAGAAGTTGTAAACCTTTTGGAATAAATAAAGATATGATAAAGTAAGTTAACGACTTGAGCTTAGTAGAACATGCCCGTAATTTTAGTACTGCAGAGGCTGAGGCTTAAGAGTTTGAGGGCTACGTATTAAGACCCTGTCGCAAAAAAAGAAAGGAAGAAAGAAAAGAAAGGAATGACTAGAATGACTATCATTGGACTGAGTAGTGGTGTTTTCCTGGCCTGTGTGAGCTCCTAGGTTTGTTCACGAGAATGTGTAAGAGGGAGAAAACAGCACCCGCTGCCGAAATCTAAGGATAATAGTCTACAGAATACAAGTTTCTCATTAACTGACACTGGGTACATGAATTTAAAATTTTATTACAAGCTATAATATACATACAGCAAAGAATACAGAACAGGAACATGCACTGTAATGGTTTAACATAAAGCAGACACTTGCCTGTCAGGTAAAAAGCAGGGCAGTACCACCCCCCGGATGTCCACTTGACTGCCCTTTTCCAGGCACAGCGCCTCCCTTCCCAGAGTAATGCAAGAGTAATGACGGTTTTAACATTAGTTATGCTTACTTCTTCCTTTCTTTACATACTTATTCTGTAGTTTTCTTTTATTGCTGGTGTTATATATGAATTAAGATCAGTTCTACCCTCCATTCTCTCTACTCCGATTCTTTTCTTATTCCTCACACCTTTGTTCCCTCTCAATTTTATAGGTGCTCTTACTGTTTTTTATTTTTAAGCCACAGAGTCCACTTAGTGCTGCCAGCATGTTCTCAGGTGTAGAACCATGTTCTAGAATATAAGTAAGCGCTTTGGGCTACATCCTGAACAAAAACACACTTTCCCTCTCCCCTCTCCCAGCAGCAGTGGTCAATAGCACCTCAGCTAGAGGTGGGCTGCCCACCCACTGCATGCTGAAATTTGGTCTCCTTGCACAGTTACTGACTCCATCTGTGTAGCTGCCCTGTTGTGGTGGAATACATCGCCTTGTGGTCAGCCATTACCTCTGGCTCGTCCTATCTTTCTGCTTTTGTAATGATCCATGAGTCTTGAGAGGGGACATGTAATATAAATAGCCCATTTAGGGCTGGACATTCTGCATAGACTCTTATTTTTTATTCTGTGGGATAATTTATATGTAATTATAATCATTTCTGCTTTAAATGATTTGTCGATCTTTCTGATAAGGCTATCTGATCTGGAGTTTTCTTTTTAAGAAAGTATGAACAATGAATTTCCATCCTTTAGTTTAATAATTACAATTGTTACTTACTTTATAATTGCAAATATTATTATTGTGACAGAGCCTCATTGTAGCCTAAGTTGGTCTCAAACTCATTATTTAACTGAGAATGATTTTGAACTCCTAATCCTCCTGCCTCCATCTCCCAAGTGCTGTGATTACAGTCTATGCCCTTATGTCCAACTTACTGTGTTTTTTCTTTCTGTTGCCTCATGGTTTCTTTTATAATTAATTTTTTTGTCTACACACCAGATACTTTGTTTGAAAAGTTGTGAAATTAGGTTGAAACTTTGGATAATACTATGTTCTTCCAGAAAATACTGTTTCACTCTTAGATGACTGCAAGAAGCACTAGTAAGCCAGTATTACTTTAATCACTTTATGTTTAAGGGATTACTGTTTTCTGGACCACCCAGAAGACTTAAAGCTACTTCTGGTTCACCCTTATACCTGGGATTCAGTCATTCAGGGCCCCATCTAGTCCTTAGTTTTAGAAGCACTTGCACTATTGACAAGCACTGTCACCTCTTTCCCTAGCTTTATAAAACTGACAAAATGTTGAATGGCTTCTTATCCATCTTGTTCAGTTGTAAGATCCTCCACATAAAGAAAATTTAACTGTGGCTCACTTGGCTGACTATCTGTCTTTGGACTGCGGTCTGGTAATTCTTCATGCTTTGTTAATCCTTGTATATTTACTTTTACTAGTTTCTAATTTTTCTAGGAAGGTTGATCAGAATCATTACTGGAAATACAAGTCTATAAATATTTTTAAATAAAACGTTCCAGTCTTGGGGACTGGAGAGATGACTCAGAGGGTAAGAGCTCTGGCGGCTCTTCTAGAAGTCCTGAGTTCAATTCCCAGCAACCACATGGTGTCTCATAACCATCTGTAGTGAGATCAGATGCCCTCTTCTGGTGTGCAGATGTACATGCACATAGAGCACTCGTGTACAGAAAATAAATAAGTAAATCTTAGAAAACAAACAAAAACACTCTCCACTCTCATGCTACAGAGGAGTTAAGAGAATGGATTCCACAACCAAACTGCTGGAGTTTGAATTCCAGCTCCACTCTCTCCTAGCTATATGGTTTTAGATGAATTACTTCCCTTTGCTTGTGCTTGAGTTTCCTTGTGCGTGCATGTAAGTATGTGTGTGTGCATGTATGCATGCAAGTGTGTGTGTGTGTGTGCATGTATGCATGCAAGTGTGTGTGTGTGTGTGCATGTATGCATGCAAGTGTGTGTGTGTGTGCATGTATGCATGCAAGTGTGTGTGTGTGTGTGTGTGTGCATGTATGCATGCAAGTGTGTGTGTGTGTGCATGTATGCATGCAAGTGTGTGTGTGTGTGTTGAGACCAGGTCTCATGCAGCCCATGCTGGCCACTAGCAGCCTGATGGTTTATTTTACATGCACTCTGGGGCTCATACGTAGGTCCTCGTGCTTATAGGGCAAGTGCTTTACCAGCTGAGATGTCTTCCCAGCTTTGTATATAAAGTTTTAAACTTAAGTCCACAGTTGAGGATAAATGTAGTATTTGTCTTTCTGAATCTGGCTTATTTTATTTAGCATAATGACCAGTTGCCCCTTTTTGTGCACATGCCACGATTTCTTTTTCCTTTATGTCTGTATAAATTCCATTGTATACATGTGCTGCCCTTTCTTTATCTGTCTATGTGTTGATAAATATCTAGGCTGCTTCTCTTTCTTGAGTGTTGCAAATACTGCAGTGGATCTGCAGGTGTCTCTGTTATTGACTTAGAGTCATTTGGGTGTCTATCCAAGAATAGCACATCTGGGTCAGATGGTAGTTCTGTTGCAGTTTTTGAGGAGCCCTATACTGATTTCAGTAATAGCTAATTATGTGTATAATCCTATCAGCAGTTTCTAAGGAAAGTTCCTCTTCCTTCACGGTCTCACCAGCGTTTTCTGTAATAGATCTTCTTAATGATAACCATTCAGACCGGAGCGAGGTAGAATGTGAAAGCAGATTTAATTTCTGTTTCCCTGATGACTAAAGATATTGAACACTTATTGTTCATTTCCTTGAAAACTTTCTACTTAGTTCTTTAGTCCATTTGTTTTATTAAGTTCAATTTTATGTAATATGTAGCCAAGTAGAAACTTTTTATGTGTTATATAATATAATTTGCAATTATATTTTGGGTAGTCCATTTATTGATAGGGTGGTTTGTGGAGTTTGGGGTATTTAAATTTTGCAGTTCTTTACATGTCCTGTATATTAATTGCTTGTCTGATCTGTGGTTAGCAAACATTTTTCCTGTTGCATAGGTTGTCTTTACTCCAGGGATTGCTCCCTGGTGTGCAGAAGCATCTTGATTTGATGTAATGCCATTTGTCAATTCTTAAGATTATCTCCTTTCCTCTTGTTTTGCTGTTGATTGTATTTTACAATAGTGAATTTTTGTCATATGTAAAATATCCTTTTATAGGACTGTTTTATATGTTTTTCAACTTTAGTTTTTAAATTTATAGGTAG